TAATGGTTAGCAATGGAATTCCGGAAGTGCGTTTCGTCCTATTTGGGACTCGTCAGATGGATGAACTTGCATCTCAGAGTTGATGCTCACTCTATCACTCGAAACCAGTACCGTTCGCTTCAAACATCATCATGTTCTCCACTAAGCTAGTGAGTCGTGATAGACACTTACTTGTGCAATGGTGTGAAGTTTAAATTCACTTGGTATTATTTACTTGAATCTTCTCATTGATGTTAAGCACTACTATATCGAGGCAATACACACAGTATGCACACATGCCAATAAGAAACTGATCAATCGTAGTCCTAATCATCAATCGGTAGATTGAAGTAAATAATACCAAGTGAATTTGATCCTACGTTATGTTTGTTAGAGGCTTCAGTTTCTTTTTTTTCGAGATGTCACATTAATAGGATGAATAACTTGAATAAAAAAACTAATCTACTTAGTTTTTAACTAAGAAAAACATATGTGTTTTTATCAAAGTAACTTTTGTGTTTTTCTTCATGATAAGTAGTTGTGGTGTGTGCTACTGATATCAACAGATATAAGTAGTATGTATCATTCCTCGAAAGTGACATGTCTAGCCATAGAATGTTAAGAAGATCGAAGAAAAGAGAATGATTAGTGTGGAAACGAAGGAAATGTCATTCACTTTATCAGATACCTTGATATTCATCGACTAATATGCGAACGGCTTCCCGTGAAATCAATTAAGATTCCAGAAGTGCTGAAAGAGCCCAAGACATTTTATTCAATTATCGTTTGCAAGAACATTTCATAATCTCAATGTATAACTTCCTTATTGGACAAATGCTTAAAAAATCACTACTCCATGCGGATTGGATTATGGTAATGATTATTTCGATTTTACTAGAAAAATTATAAATACCCGAGTGTTTTGTACTCTATTTGCCTGGTTGGAATAAAATTTCTTTCTACTGGTCTTCTATTATCTAATTTTCGACTCGGAGTGTTCAAGTGTTCGAGTGATCAAGTTATACGCTGCAAAGCAAACATTCAAGTTCATCAAAAGTCTTGAATTCTTATTCGCATCAAGTTAAACCAGTCTTGATCCGCTGAACAATGAACAGTTATTTCACAATCCATACTAATAATAATAATATCAGTAATATTGTTGTGAACAAGAACACGAATGAAGACAATCGATTGTATATAACACTAAAATCTGAGAACCGTATAGTAAAGTTAATTGGCAAACTATCAATCCATTGTCTCAGATTTCATTGTTCATACATTTTCATATATCAATTGCATTCCGTTCCCGTTCTTTCCTTATCGATCTTCTATTGAAATACATTCTATGCCAGACCACTGTTATATACTACTTATATGGATATAAGTAACACAGACCATAGTATTACCAAGACAAAATAAAGATTATACTTAAATGCCAATATCATATCATGAACATTTCAAGAATTACTTCTTTCGAACTGTGTGTTATACAGTATGACATATTTCACTTTTATTGAACTATAAATGATTCAAGGATTATCTACGATTGTCATTCCTTGAAATACTTAAAGGATATCAGCCAATTATTATAAATATTTGAAACAATTTTTTTGTTTTTATTTGAATATTACCTACAAAGAAATGGACTCCAGTACCCTCCCTTATCATGTGAGAATATATTCAGGTGTTCATTTGTTTATCAACATATTTGCTTATATTTTATTTGTATAATAACTTATTCATTCATCAACTACAAAAATTTATCGTTACAGTCTTAAGTAAACAATGTGACTATTTTTCTCGTATTATATATATATGTATATCGACCGTTGTTGCTAACTTGACGTGGTGGTCGGAATCGCCCATTGTGATAAACCAATCGAGTTATACTAGCTGGGATAATCGCTCCTCAAGGTCCTACCATGTCAGACAGACCGGTTGAAGAGCGGTAAGACTAAAAGCAACAAACCCATGGTCCGAAGGCGAAGTCATACTGCTCAATGTACAGAGGTGAGATGGCAGTAAGGTGTTTCCTTCAGACAACCAGCATAAGAGCGATGTTGCCTTCCCAAAAGGAGGTGTGCGGTTAGAAATGTTCGACCCTAAAAATGCCCACCTCTCCTTATCCCACGGATATCCGTCTCCGGTGGTAAGGCCTCAACAAATACGGAGCTAACACGAAAATTACTCATAAAAAGGTCGTGTGTGACCGACCTCAAGCAGTTGTCCCTTGGACACTGCGATCATGCTCTCAGGTCACTAAGGCCACCTCTAATCAAATTCCCTTTTCAGGTACCTCCAGAAGAACTCTTCCACGTTGTGAGCAACCGGGAAGTGATAATTACCCTCATCCCTCTAACAGCACTCGAGACCACTATATATATATACAAAATTAAGAGGAGGAAAAGCGAATGTCCGGAGCTGAATCTAGGTTGGTGTATACAAAAGATCTACTTAGGTGAGTTGGAAAAATTCGATTCTGGACAAGTCATGCACGTAGGGTTGAGGATCCTGAAAAAAAAATTTGCATATGAACCTATTCTTAGTCACTGGTTAGTACGAGAATATATCTCCTATCCTTATTCCACTGCCTTCTAGATTATATCTCTAGGTCTAAGACGCTGAGAGTGGTCCCATATGAAAACCACATACTTCTGTTTGGGGATCCTAGTCCTTATACAAATTCTATGTCTCAAATATATAATCAGGTTGTCCATTTGTACCTATGTTCAAATTAATCAATATTCCCTCTGATAGATTGAACAATCAATACTTAATTCAACTATCACTCATATTACAAAAATAGTTTACAGTTCATTTTCTGAAACTAATTAAAATGGTTACATAACATAATACAAATCAATTCTGGCAATTGTTTTCTCTATACACATTATGTAATACAAAATAATTAAAATTAAAATTTCACATTTCTACATTTTATCAATGAAGATAGATTAAGAACAGGTATTAAATCTCCAGTATAGGGTTGTGAAGATTATAAAAATCATGAATTGATTGGTGTTAGATCATCAACAAAAACTTGAAAGCACTGGACGGCCGTTTTATCCTATTGTGGAACTCCTCAGCAGTGCGCATCCACGACCTCGCCCGCGGGATTCGAACCCAAGGCCTTCAGTCTCGCAGTCTCGTTCAATTGGTTTAGGTTAGACATCAACACCGTTGGATGCCAACTCAGTGGTCTAGAGGTTGAGCCTTTGCGCGAGAGACTGATAAGTCCTAGGTTCGAATGTCGCGAAGTGGGATCGTGGATTCGCACTACTGAGGAGTCCTATAATAGGACGAAACGGTTTTCCAGTGCTTTCAGGTTTTCGATGATATTCTAAGATCAATATTAGGTGAACTACTTAAATATTATAAGTAGTTATTTCACATCCTTGATAATAAACTAAAATCAGGAAACAATTAAATTTTACAGAAACCATTTCTCTTTTTTCTTCTTCTTTTGATTAAATGAGATTAACTCAGCTAATATAGTTTAACTTACATTCTTTTCAATGTAATTTACTGACTTAATTAGTCACATAGAAAAGTGATACGCCTTATGAGAGTGTATTCAATTTTGATGTCGGAAGACAATTAACAATATTTATGTGGACGGTGAAGGATTGGGGGGGGCAGGTGGAAATAGATGGAATCTTTGATTGTTAAAACAAAATAAGATTTTGTTGAGTTTCAATGAAATATATTAGTTAACATGATTTTAGCATAATGGCGGAAAATAAAATCAAGATCATCATAAACCGGCCTGTTTGAATATCTGAGTTACATGTTCCTACCATCTAGATATTTCAAAAAGTTATCGGTTTTCTTGTTTGTTTGTCTTAACGCATCACTATTAGTCTATTAGTCTCATAATCTATTCAGGTGTGTTTGTGAAAAGTTTACGACAATTCATTGTACAAGTTACAATAGAGCCCAATCAGAGATATCGTAGTTGCTGTCAATATGCATCAAAAAGAATGTACATTATTCAAATGTCAATTCCTGAACTGCTAACATCTAACTGGCAGCCACTCAATATTTATCGTAAGGATCAATCACGAAATAAGATAAAAGGAAGTTTGTTGAAATACTTTATGTTGAGAATTCTATATTGTACCAAGAATATAATATTGAATAAAGGCACTAATAATAATAATAATAATAATAATAATAATAATAATAATAATACTTTTACCATAATGGCGGAAAATGAAATAAAGAACACAATCATAAGTATTAGGATGTTTTGTTAAAACTAGATTCGGAACTTTTGGTCTTTAGATAAAATAATATCGATTTGATGCATGTGCACTGCTGAAGAGTCCCATACTAGGATGAAATAGGGATCCAGTGCTTCCAGGCTTTCCATGATGGTCTAGCTTCAATTATTAAATTACTACGATCTTCAAAAAAAACCCTTTCTGATGATAAAAACTACTCAACAAGAAAACTGTAAGTGTGAAAGATCAAGAGTCTTAAGCTTAAAAATAGTAACTCTTCATTGATTTTAACAAGGCATATAAACCTAAAAATTTCAGACAGGAATTTCTTAGCTTTTGATTAAATGCTTATGTATATAATTGATCGTAGTTCAGTAGTTTTGAAGATGTTTTGTTGTCCTGGCTTATTGACCCTTGTAGACTCAGTTACCAGTACGGTCGGTAATATATACGACAACAGAAGCTCAACACCTCCTGGATTGAATAGTTGTACAATTGATGTCAAACAGCTAATACAAACCAATTATATGCATCTATCAAACACATGAATTGATTTAGGTTCAATAACCAGTGACGAGCTGAAAGCATTGAACGAACATTTTATTCCCAATATAGGAGTCCTTAAGAGTGTGTATACACTAATCCGCAACCGCAAATCAAATCCTGAACTTCCCACGTAAACACTTAACCTCTAGACCACTGAGTAAGGAACCGCTGTCTATTTAAAAATAACTACTTATTTCTTGAAAAAACAAGATATTGTATTAAAAATACATAATTATGATTGTTAAAAGTTACCTTAGATAGTTTATTTCTTCTATTTGTTTCCCTCTTTTTGTCTTGATTAGTTGTTTTCATTTCATAATCTGTATTCTCATTTGGTTTGTTTCTATCCGATTTTAAAAACGTCGTACCATATTCCTCTTCATTAGAATCCATTGGTTTTTTTCGTCAGATAATAATGATATTACTAAAAAATAAATGAGAAATGACATTATCATAACCATTTTGGCATCAAACATCATCTAATGTGAAAATCATTTAAGTCAATCAGTCAGTCAGTGAGTCAGCTACAACGTAGGAGCCGGCACACATATTCATTGGTCCAAGTTGCCATTACCTCATTAACACAACAAGATCAACACCAAATTCATACTACTACTACTACTTACTCCTGTTACTCCTCGTGGAGGAGCATAGACCGCCCACCAGCACTCACCATCCACCAAATCCATGGGAGTAGTTAATTCAGTGGTATTAATATATAATAGAAAGATTGCATATGAAGATATAGTACAGGAAGAAAGAATTAGTTCGTAGAATGAAAGATATGAAGCAGTTTTAATCTCATAGTTTAAGGGAAGACAGAGAGTGCATACACTGACACCATTCTGATCGATTCTCAAACATGTCACACATAGTCTCCAACAATTGGTTACAAGAGTCAGACGTACTCCAATCAAGTAGTCGGCATTGACTGACATAGCTCAGATCAGAAGTTAGTAACTTCAAACACCGATGACACGTTTTGGCTGGTTTGGCCGTTCCTAACTTTCATCCAACCGTCTCCAACACTAATCAGCATTTTGCGTCGTGGTAATCAGTATTCAGGCATACGTAACACATGATCCAACCATCTCATTTGATGAAGATTCACAACTTCATCAACTGATTTATGAATAACAAAAATGAATATTCATTCTTTGTTTGTTGTTTTTGAATCTTTACTTGTGTATATTTGTGGATTGACATAAATGACACAGCTATTCATTTGCCAACATACAACATCGATTAATTATTTACTTACTGGGTAGGTAGTTTTGTCATTTGTAATCGATTCATTAGTGATTTGTCTAGACGAAGAGCTTATTCGTCACAGCAGTTAAATGATTTCGTTTATAACCCATCAGAAGAAAACCAACATATTCTTTCAATTGATGTATATATTTACACAGGGATCTGTGTCGACTATAGACTTTTCACAGTCTGAACCACAAAATGATCTTAGCTACCACCATAAATATGTAATTTAAAATGGTTAAAATTAAAATTCTGCATCAATAAAGATCAAGTATTTTTGCGTGAGACCAAAGATTCTAACTTCGACTTCACGATGGGGGACTGTGTTTTCGATTGCTGAACAGTCCCATACTATGATGAAATGGCCACCTAGTACTTCCAGGTTTTCAAATGATGGTAATTCGAATTGAGCATTGGGTAGATTGTTATGAATAATATAAAACAACATATTTGCATATATTCCAATGAGTAGAAAAATTAGATTTTCTGATGTTTCGTGACTCGGTAAAGTCACTTCTTCAGAGAATAAATAGACAAGTTAAATTAACCCAAGTTTAAATAGTACAAAGGAACAAAGCAAGAGTGCTTGTTGCGATCAATATATGAACAAGTCAATGTCATGTCATTCCAGTTAAGGTGATTCATTTATACATTCACAATTGCATAAGTGTAATTTTCAAAACAAAAAAATTACTATCAGAAGAGGTTTTGTCGATATTATAGTAATTTATAATAGTTGAGGTCATGAGTCAATTAAAGCCAGATCACTATAGTGAGACTCCTCAACAATGCGCATCTGCGATCCCTCCCAGCAATATTCGAACCCAAAACCTATCAGTTTCGTATGCGAACGTTTAACCACTAGACCACTGCCCTGGATTTTAACGGTTTTAATGTCTAACTTCAATTAATCCACGAAATTGAACAGCATATCCAACATTATCTTTGGTGAGTTAATAATCTCACAATAGACACCACTGAACTCCACTGATCACTGCTTCTCACAAGAATTCATCACTAACTATTCATTTTCATGATGAAGTTGAATGCACTAAATTGCATAACATTCTATATCTCCATACAGTGAAAGAAAAAACGAATCTTAAGCAATTTCGTTGTTATTACTAGACTTAGAAAGGAACAGAAAAAAGTATCGTTATCTTGTTTGAAAGAAGGGAAAAAACCACTGAAACGATAATGTTAAATGTTTCATTTACTTTCTTTTCTTTTTTTTTCATTATACAATGTTCATGTTCATTTAGTTGCTTTCTCTCTCTCTCTCTCTTATTACATTTATTGTTATGTTAATGATACAAGTTACGTAACAAAAATATTTTGAAGAGAAACTTATTCATATGGACTGTACAACTAGTCAATGGGGTGGAGCATTAAGTATTGTATGTGTTTGAGAGAGGGAGAAAATGAGAGAGGGGGAGGGAGGGAGGGAGGTAGAAACGAAAGTCATTTTGTTCACTAATCAGTTTTTTCTTTCATTGAAAATAATTGAATAAATTTCAACTTAACAATAATTCGAAAACATTACTTAGAATAGATGGATTGTTGTTAACAGACAAATCTAAGATGTAGATTTTGTTCATTTCAGTGTTGATATTCATGAAAAGAATCGAATTCAATACGTTTTTTGCTTCAAACACCGCTTGGATTATCCATTGAATTATTGAATATCAATAGCTAATAACTTGTTCAGTGGATATGATTTTCATGTAATCGACATTATTATGTAGGTACCATCCCATAGATAGAACAAAATGTACGTCCTTGACTCCTCTGTTAATTACAATTCATCTATTCTAAATAACTAGTGGCGTAACCACTACACTGAGTCAATCAACACAGGATGTACCTAAATCAAAAAAGGCCAATCAAGGTTCTATCAATAACAGTAACAACAGGATACCTCAAACACTAATTATCAATGTAGGTTTGTGAGGATCATTAAGTTTTTAATTGAGATAATGAACCAATTAAAGTTAGACCACCGTTGAAAACCTGAAAGCACTGGACGGCTGTTTCTTCCCAGTATAGGGCTCCCCAACAGTGTGAATCCACGATCCCGCCTGGCGAGATCCGAACCCAGGACCTATCAATCTCGTGCATGAACGCCCAACCACTAAACCACTGAACCTGTCGGGATTCAACAGTGTTAATGTCTAACCTCAACCAATCCATGAAATTGCGCGACCATCCTCCATTTCACTGAGGTAGATTCCTGTCTCTACCTCACACGGATTAGCTCTACTGGTCTTGGCTTCTCACTAGTATCCCGAGAATTTCCTAACGAAACTAATCACTAGTGAAATGTGAAACATTGTGTGTTGTGATTTCTTCATTCAGAAATGATGATTGATAGTGTTGATTATTAATAGTTGTCTTCAAACTATAAATTTGAAACAGCATGTCTAATGAATAAATAGATAACTTATTTTCATTGCAAGCTGTGAAATGAATCTAAACAAGCAAAATTGTCTTTGAAATAGTACAAAACTTAATGAAACAGGAGTATTACATGGGTTAAATTATCCTTTTCTAGAAGTTAAATGGAGTAATATTTATATCAATTCTACAACTTAACAGTTCGTCATTGAAAAGCACTTTCTTAATTGTTTAGTCGTACATTTGTAGTAACCAAACTAGATTACATTCCGTTGGTTTTAGACAAATTCAAAGACTTAATCTTAATATCACATTGAAACTAACTGACGAATGCTTGGATATATTCCACAGAAATTTCTGTCTATAAATGGTTTTATATATTTCATATATTTGTGGTCTAGTTAGTTAAGGGCCTGGCGCAGGACTGATAGGTCCTGGGTTTGGATCTCGCGGGGTGCAAACCGTGGATGCGCACTGCTGAAAAATCCCATACTAGAACGAAACGGCCGTCTAGTGCTTCCAGGTTTTCCATGGTGGTCTAGCTTCAATTGACTCATGATTTCAATCAGTGATATTTCCAAACAGTTAAGTCAATATCAATTCAGGTAAACCTAATCTCATCTGTAAAAAAATAAATGTTTCTATAAGCCAACTAAAATCTCAGTTATGAATGTTTGAACAGCATATTAACTAATTTCAATGATTGAGATCATAAGTTAATTGAAGATAGACCACCATAGAAAACCACCTAGTGATTAATCAATTGTAAATATTGTAGTGTTTATACAAAATCAATTAACTGATAAGTAGGTCATACTGATTGATTCAAATCGAACACCATAAAATCAATATTTAAATTGATCTACACATTAAAGCATCACTTAGTGATACAATCACAAGAGTTACCAGTGAAATGTTTAGATGAAAGGGGACATATTACTAATCACAAAAAATAAAGAATTATAAAAGACTTTGTCATACAACAACAAATAATAGGTTGTGGCCATTTTTAAATTTCATTGAAATCATGAACCGATTAAAGTTAAACCACTATTCAGAACCTGGAAGCACTGGATGACCATTTAATCACATACTTGGGAACTCCTCAGAGGTAGTATTGGTCTAACTTGGGATTGGTTCATGATTTCAATAAAGAAGCTAGTAGCTGAATGCTAGCTTAAGCAGAAACATTGAATTACTACACTATGTTTTAAAGGAAACGTGATAATGATGATAAGCTTTAAAACTTTTGATTATGGTTCTCGATTGAGTCTGTGTGTACAGACTTCTGAGAATTCTCTTATCAAAACATTACAGTTCTTCACTATTCTCTGTTGTTTGTTATTAATCCAGTAGATAATGATCTGTGATAGAAATCAATTACAATCTAACATAATTGTTTTTAATCAGTTTAGTGGTTGTGGAAATTAAGCTTTTGATTGAAATCATGAACCGACTGATGTTAGAACACCATTGAAAACCTAGAAGCACAACAAGATTTGTTTATCTAAATATTGGTAATCAAAAAGCATTGGACAAATGTATTATCATTGTATGAAACTTTTCAACAGAACATGCATTCACAATCCTGACAGACATCGAACCTAAAAATTTCAAAATTCTTCTTGCATTATTCATCAGTTTACTAATCGGACAAAACGATCATTAAAAGTTTTCTGGTTTCCAACGGTCCTTGATATAAAACTATAAAATCAATAATCCCCTCAAATACTTAATTCAATTAG